TCATATCGTTAAACAGCCAACGTCCGTCAAGCTTCGGGACCGGGGGTATCTCCCTAGAGACGGTTGGGTTCTTCGACTGTTGGAGCTTGTAGAATGCGTCCCATCGTGTGGGATCATGAAGGTCCTCGTTGAACCCGGCATAGAACGCATCGTCCAGAGGGATTTCGCCTCTCTCTAGCCGATGCCAGAAACCGTTCGGCGCTGTTTTTGAGATGGAGTGATTTATCCACCCCGGCGGGATTCCAAGGCTCAATTCATAGTTTAATATGGATTGGAAAGGTGAGATGACCTATTTTGATGTTAGAAGCTCCTTGTCATGATGACAGTAAGGAAATATCGGGAATGGTCCATAGCATTTGCTTAGCTATCAATATGAGAACTGGCTGTATATATGAGAAGAAGCGACACTTACACAGACACCTCCGATATCGAACAGAAGCACTTTTGGTTGCTTATGGGGTGGCATTATGGCATCAGAGTCTTTTATGTCCTACTTGTGTACGATTGAATAATTTAGGATAAGTAACATCTAACTCATTATAAGACTCTCGGAGGCATCTCATATAATTCATCGAGTTTATGAGAATAATAAGGCATTGTCTAGGTCTCGTCGCTACTTGAAGTCAATGAACGGCTCCGAGACATACCTCGGTTGATGCAAGTCATCAAAGCGCCAAGACGTTACTAGGTACTTAGGTACTTGGGAAAGTGCAAGTTGCAGGTCGTCGCCCACCTCAGTTTAGACCTGATTCGTGCCCCACCAAGCCACTAGGCAAGGGTTGACAAGCGAATTTTCGCCCACATCCATCAAAAATTAAATGCACAGCTTTTTCTGTCGCAACCTTCTTCTTCTCCATCACCAACTCCAACCCTTTCGACAACCGCGCTGATAGCATTGCCCGTCAGCCAAATCAGTCAAAATGGTGAGTGCGACATAAATACAGACCGTTGCAATGCCAGAAATGGCGAACATTGCAAAGATGGCATTTGGATGCGAGAGTCAATGCAAGATGCTTCGGTGTGGAAGATAAAACTGAAGCGCAAATTGCTGACTCGATGGGATCATGACAGACGTTCCACAAGGTGGTCAAGAACAGCGCCTACCACAGGTAAGTAAACTAAGAACAGATCCTACAACCGATTAGTGACGTCCAAGACGGTTCAATTAACAATTTCTCTCAGCCGATTCCAGACCAAGTACAAGCGCCGTCGCCAGGGAAAGACCGACTACTATGCCCGCAAGCGTCTGATCACCCAGGCCAAGAACAAGTACAACGCCCCCAAGTACCGCCTGGTCGTCCGCTTCACCAACCGCGACATCATCACCCAGATCGTCACCTCAGAGATCGCCGGTGACAAGGTCTTCGCCGCTGCCTACTCCCACGAGCTCAAGGCCTACGGTATCGAGCATGGTCTTACCAACTGGGCCGCTTCCTACGCTACCGGCCTACTTCTCGCCCGCCGTGTCCTCAAGAAGCTTGGCCTCGATGAGACTTTCACCGGTGTTGAGGAGCCCGATGGAGAGTACACCCTGACCGAGGCCGCTGAGGAAGACGGTGAGGAGCGCCGACCGTTCAAGGCTTTCCTCGACGTCGGTCTTGCGCGAACCTCGACTGGTGCTCGTGTCTTCGGTGTCATGAAGGGTGCTTCTGACGGTGGTATCCTCGTTCCCCACTCCGAGAACCGATTCCCCGGTTTCGACATGGAGAGTGAAGAGCTCGACGCTGAGACCTTGAAGAAGTACATCTATGGTGGTCACGTTGCCGAGTACATGGAGACTCTCGCCGACGACGATGAGGAACGATACAAGAGCCAGTTCCAGAAGTACCTCGACGACGACATTGAGGCTGATGGTCTGGAGGAGCTGTACACCGAGGCTCACGCTGCCATCCGAGAAGACCCTTTCAAGAAGGAGGAGGGTGAGGGTCCCAAGAAGAGCAAGGCGGAGTGGAAGGCAGAGTCCAAGAAGTACAGAACTCCCAAGGCCACCAAGGAGGAGAAGCGCGAGAGGGTCCAGGCCAAGATTGCCGAGCTCCGCGACGAGTAAATGGTCAACTTCGGAAAAGGATAACACATCAACCCACATTTGCGGTTGTCTTTAGGCATCGGAGTTCATGGGGATGGCTCATCATTGACAGGTACTAAACGAATTAATGAAGTTTATGCACCGTCATCGTTCCTGATATTGGGTTGTGCCCATGATTTCCTAGTAGCTAACGTTCGAGATCACTACATAGTGTACGTGATGCTCAAATGCCACTCCGTTTATCTCAAGGCAGCACAACCGTCCCAACCAAATGGTTAAATTGCTAGCTTCTCTACACGGGAGGGGTTCTCATGTCACTTAATATCATCCATAATTATCAACCGGATGGCTAACTCGGCACACATATGTTGAATCTCGCGTAGTCCCATTGAATAAATGCTCATCTAGAAGTCTGGACAGGTTGGAGTGTTAAGAAGCTATCTCCTGAGACTTCTTGCCTTGAGGATAGGTATGGTGAAAGTTGTCCGGAGAAATAGGAGTTTACCTAAATCTCCGGTTTGCCGCGAAGACTACCCTTGAGTCAAGATCCTTAGCCACGCAAGGAACGATGGAACTTGGTCAGTCTTTAGACATGAAGCTTTAACCTAACTCAGGTAAATGCTGTCAAGTTTCGGTGCTAGCGTCATCCATCTATGGATCACATCGTGACATGCTAGTAACTGATGGGCTTAAACGTCATACGGTATTGTGATGCCCTACGTCGTCGCATCCGGGGATGTAAACAATGGCCATGATCCGACGGTGTCACAACGAGCCGTCGGTCTAATAATATGTCCAATTACGGGAATACCAACACCGTAAGGTGGGCCGAGACTTCGGCTGTCTCAATGGCTTCGTTCTTGACATGAATATATGGTCGTTTAGTCAGGAGAGTCATGCAATAAATTAGGCCGCTATCGCTGAAAAGTTGAACCGACTGTAGTTAGAAGTGTACGTATATATACGAATCTACTCGACTCGGAAGAGGCCTTGACTCAGCGTGACTCCATTGTAGGCGTACCTACGTAATATCTCGGCCGTCTCCTATGTTGAACAGACCTAGCCGGTGCTCCTTGAAAACACTGCCATCTAGGTCAATTCTTACTCGAGCGATGTCGACAACCGCCAACGACACCGGAGCCTCGCCTGGGCGTCTGATCCGGATGACGCTGCAGGTCTACGGAAACCAGAAGAATAAACCCGAGGATAACGAGGCCTTCTCTCGTGAGTATGTCGCCAAGGTGGCTGGCATACAGGCTCGGAACGGTATCGAGATGTACCAGCAGGTATGAGAGAGCAGTCTCGACTTTCCGGGTTGCGAGAAAGAGTAGGTACTAACGAGACCCCTTTTCGACGTCTGTAGGTCTTCACTCCCGCGCCGTTTCGCGTCGCTCTTGATGAGATGAACCGCCGCGGAAACAGGGGCTGGGTTGTTGACGTGAGTCTTTTTATATACTAAATTAACACTCTACGAGTCCAGTAAGTTTTATACTAGGGCTGACTTTTCTATGCCAGGACCACGACATCACGGTCGAGTTCTACTTCCGCAGCTTCGCGGACCTCGAGAAGGTGCGGCGGGACCCGGACTTCCAGGCCCTGCAGGCGGGTGAAGATCCGTATGTCAACTTGGTGCATACCGTGGCGACTCTCGGTTGGGTCGAGAAGTACGTCGATGGTGGCGAGGTGGTTAATGTTAAGGATGGCAAGTCGATGTATCCGCCATGGTAAGATTTCGAATTTTATCTCCCCCTCTTTCCCCTTTGACTTACCTGTGGAGTTGGTATGCCGGGACGAGCTTTTTGAGGAGGAACTTCTCTTGAGGCACATGTCGCCGCCTACATGCATTGCTTCGGAATATGATCATTGACATTAGCTCTTTTATCTGGTAGGTCCGAGTTGCAGGATCTGTCTACAGCGTACCCGGCTCCGACCCCGGCTTAGGGTCAGTAAGTCGAGCTTCAATGTTGGGATTAACACATCGCAGGGGACTGAAGTGGCGGACATGATGACGGTGAAGCCATGGTATCGTGCTTGGTATGACTAAGGAAGAACGGCGCAAGCTCGAGTTAAGAGGATATGGAATATTATCACACTATCTCAATTCAAATACCTCAACTTATCAAGTCTCATTATGTCCCAAGACCCTAATAATAGATTCTCTTAGAGAGGCGACTCCTTTGTAAATAATCATTAGGTGTTCTATCTAGCTTCATCAAGCCTTTGGGGTGGTTAGGAGGTGAGGGTCTATTCCCAGCCAACTATAAGGTACGTAGGCTGAGGTTATGCTTGGAATAGGCAGCCTCAAAGTTGCGTAACCTCTGTCATATGCTGTAGCAAAGTGCTTCTATCTATTTTATTACACATAACTACTTGTCTCCACAAGTCTAAAGGTTCTCGTCTATGTGGAGACTAAAGGTGCTATTCATATTCTTTATCATGAACTGTGCTGGATTCTACAAGGAGGGATAATGTTCCCAAGAACACAGCCACGCTTGGTTAAGGCATGAAGTACCTACCTGGTAAGATAGGTAGTGACGGATTAGTGTTAGTGATTTAGCTGACCTTCTATAAGCCAGAGAAACGACAAAGGCCACACGAACAGTATTACTGGGTTCGCCAGCAATAAGGGGTTCACCAGATCAGGGGCTATACAGTATGTGGTAACTACCTAACCTACTAGAGTTCAGCCAGGACTGAAAGCTACTCAACAGAAGTAACTTTCTCTAGATGCAATTAAGGTATCTATACGTCTTTCTTGGTTTATCTGCTCTAAGCATAACTAGAAGTGGTGATAATAGAAGGGTAGTGAAGTGAGCGACTACTGAATGCCCGTGAAACTGCAGACGAGCACAAAGTCGCACGTTACGAGCTAGCCCTTCTGCCGAAGTCTGGCCGGGAACGCGAGTGGTTTTGTGGCTATTATAGACTCATTTGTCTCGCTCAGGCATCGTCAATCAAACATCGAAGAGGCTATGGTCCCATAGCTCAGTTGGTTAGAGCGTCGTACTAATATCGCGACATTCGCCATATTAAGTCCATGCGAAGGCCGAGAGTTCGAGCCTCTCTGGGACCAGACTTTACTTTTTCGGATAACCATTGTCCCTCTTTGTGATTTATTGTTTTAATCTCTTTTTACAACTTTCATCGTTCTATTTCCCCCGAATCAATTGATTCTTTTTCGCTCACTTCTCTTTTCACTATTATAGACGGATATGTCCTTCAAAAATACTTTCTATAGGTACAACTAGGTACTAGCTGCCAGCTGGATTTTGTTTCCTGACAACTGTGCCGTCAGCTGCCAAAGCTTAAGCCACATAAGCTAACACTATTTAGGTAAGTAAAATAACGCTATGATCGCTTAGGTGCCTTTGACTTTAGCAGCCAGACCTTGACAGCTGGACGAGCAGCTGGCAGAGACCTCTTACTCAGGTGGTAGCAAGTACCCTGCCACTGCCTGGGAGAGAGTGCGGGAACCTCACTCAAGTCCGTGGCGTGTTGCACAGCGCGACTGCAGCCGAACTCCGGGTCCTGCTAAGAGCTGGCGCTCCCGAGCGAGGTTTCTTGATGGCGAGGCGCTGCGTTGCATTAAATATATATGGAAGAGATGTCATGTAGGAAACACGTGTGAGGCCGTTCTAGACTCGGTGTGTGGACTTTTGCTGCATCATTACGTAGGATGTTTGGCGCCGTCATGATAGCACATCTACACCCGCAGGCTCGTCGCTAGCGACAGACTTGTGTTCCCTTATCAGACGAGATTCATGTCGGGCACGATTTTGTTTCAAGGGCCAATCGTGGTTTGTTCCATTATCATGTCCTATGATATTCTAAGCCAGTTCTGCAGCTAATTCCTTACCTAATTTATGTTAGCCAGCGTTGGGTAATCAACCACAGTATCATATATAGTATATAGGATATCCTTTGTTTTTATAAAGGTATTAGGGCGATCACGACGGTTCTGCATTACTCTATTTCTTGTGAGACTCGGCATATCCAATTCGTTCGCTTGGTTTGTAGTACGCAGATAGCAGATGAATCGCTCGGTATGATATCTACCCCATCTTACGTAGTCAATGTCTATGTAGTGAGTAATGCCGTCATCTTGGCCCATTTCGCGGCATCGCCAAGTCGATACTGATTAGGCTACTGCTTTTGACGAAAATGGTATATGCTGGAGAAGGGGAGAGAGAGTCTGGAAGGGCCTATGAGACCTGGTTAACCAAGTTTGACAATATCAAGGAGCGCCGAGCAGATAGACAGCATTGGTGCTATGTAAGTACAAGGTGCGTCTGCACCAGGCCTAAAACTCTTCAAATCGCCTTTCTCCTTTGTGTTTTAAGGACGGGAATACTGCAATTGGAAACCTTTTGCCGGCACGAGTTGGATGACAATGCGTTTACCTTGTCTTGCTTGTGCCATTCTTCAATAAGAATAAGGCCATTGTATGATAGGATCGGCAGAAGCCGGTCAGCTGATGGGTTCATGCTGGTTCGCTACAGTGATATGCATTCAGCCATTTGTTTGGTCTCCTTTTTTGCCCCTCATGCCCCTCTTGTCATTTACACAGTTGGGAGGAAACATGTGACGTCTTTGGCCCTATAGTGTGATCTGTGGACTAATAAGCGCCCACTGTACTTCCATGTCATTACTGATTGTCAGTGGAGGCGATTGTTAGCGTGCGCGGTGCAGCGGAAAACAGCGCATGTATGACCGCATACCTTACCTGGTTCTCGTACTCACACCGCGGTAATTGTATGGATAGGTACTTCTATAGATGGACTTAGTGAAGGTCGGCAGTGGTAGTTAGTCCATTAAAAGACGGCGCCTGAACAGCGCTGAAGGCTTATTGCAGCATCTCGTGGAATAACGAAATAGAGCGGTACTCCCACCTCATCTCAGCTCGGTAGCTCCGTGCTACATTCCAATCACCTTCTACCTATCAAAAAGACAATGTGGAATTGATGAGAAAAATAAATCTTGACACGGATCTAGTACTACTCTATCCAGATCGTCTTTATGGGTGCTGACATGCTGGGCTTTTATTTGTCTTCTCTCATCTACATCTACAGCCATTAAAGCTCTTCCTTAGTCATCCACTCGACCGTCTTCGTATACTTTCATCGAAAGATTGAGGAGTTGGCATTCTCGGTAAATATATATTGCATCACTTCCTAGAATGGTCGTCGATGAGAAACGGCGGACCCCACACTTTATCGAGCTCTAGCCCTTTCTCGCCATTCTATCCATTCCCTGCTTCTGCTATTTCTTCCTAGATCTACAACCGAGGCGCATCCAAGGCGTCTTGCTATCGATCTACCTAGCAACCACATTAATCGTCCGAGATGGCGAATGGCTTGGAACTCGCTTCTGCTTAATCGAGAGAATACATACTGTGCTACACTCGACCGGCTAATACTATTCTCCTCGACCAACTCATCATTTATCATTCCTTTCATCTCGCAATTCCCTTGCGGATACGATCCGGCTTTATTTACTTGCCATTCCAACACTCGAACCCTTGAGAGCGCACTTACCCCAAGACCCGCTCCGCCGCCACGACGCAAGGCAAGACATACAGCACCTACGTACACCTGTACGACCCATACGAAATTACATATAATAGGATTGTAGGTCGTAGGGGGAAACGCATCGTTTCCACGCATCTTGCAGAGCGAAGTAGGCTGCCCGGGGGCATCGACTAGTGGAGCGAAGAGCACAAAGAGACCGGGTGAGCTTCAACATGGAGCATGTTATGGATGTGAGTTGGATGACTCATGGAAAAGGTAATGCGCATATTTCGCCTTTCAACATTGGAAGGCGTCTCTCTTTTTTCTATCGTATCCTGCATTTCTAGGTTGTCGGCCTAGTTTATTCCCTTCGAGTGGAAGCACGAAGCACGAGGCTGACAATGCTCATCGAGATGTAGACAACTGGAGTAACCATGGTACCAACTGGAATTCATCTAATCAAGCTCTAGACACTCCTACTCCGAATCGCACGCTGAAATCTTCCACCCCGAATAAAACCAACGGCAAGACGTCTTCTCCATCGCCTGCTCCCCCCTCTACTCCGACGCCTGCGTCGACAGATTCGTCTCTTGCCGCGAAGTCTGTACCTCAACGTACAGGTAGAGCGAGAAGCCAGTCCAACGAAACCTTGCCGAGCCAAATCGGTACACCACCTCAGAGAAGAGGCTCGTGGTTCTCTAATATCTCGTCCAAGTTCTCCGCGTCGCCTGTGATTGGACACACTCCTCCACCTCCCGCACCAGAAATCGAGGCCGACGACGTAACTCCCCTACCTAAGATATCTCCGAATAAGAATGCCGTTCTTCCGCACGCGTCGCGCCAGAGTGGCGATGCTCCGTACATCCCCGCGCCCCCGAGATCGAACCAGCAAGGCTTCTTAGGAGTCTTTCGCCGCCTTTCTTCTTCAAATGGATCTATTACGCCAGGTTCGAGAGCTAGCCATGGTCTCGTAGAGCGAAAGGTTCTAAACGTCGACAAAACCCGCGAGAGATGTCGCGTGAATGAACTTAGCCAGGCAAAACTACGTCGGGTTGCCTTCTGTGTTGACGTCGAGATTGCGCCGATGCCAAAATACGCGGATGAAGAAGCGGCGCCTAAGAAACCCGCCGACAAAGCTCAGAAACGCAAGATGACCGAGAAGAGCGAAGGCGAGGCTCTGAAGAATCCAAAGGCGATAGAGGAACAAAAAGAGAATGCCGGAGTTGTCAAGGCGACTGGTGAAGTCCTACCAAAAGAGCCCGAGAAGGAAGGTACAGAGGCCACGAATGGATACCCGAAGGAGAACGGTGTTGCAGGAGAGGAACCGGTAAAAGAAAAAGAGACTACGCGCAAGAAGGAAAAGAAAAAGAAGAGTGAGGCAGAGCGAAAGGCCAAGAAGGAGCAAAAACGCAGAGAGGCTCTTGAGAAGGGTGCTATACCCATGGAGCTCTATCTCGACAGCGACAGCTCGACTGAAGATGTCTCGATACGATCAGGGACCCTAAAGACACAGTCAACACCTACAACGAATCCCGGCAGGATATACCGACGATGTTGCCAGTTGCGAGAGACGGATATCCTCACCAAAATCACCTTGCAACTTCCAAAAACCACGGAATCCCGTGCTCACGGCATCGTTGACAAGCTAGACCTCACTGGTTATTTCATGTCGCTGCCAGACTTGGTGACTCTAGGAGACTTCCTGGCTGTTGTTCCAGTTAGAGAAGTCATACTGGAAAATTGCGGGCTGACGGATGAAGGAGTTCGCGTTATTCTCGCCGGACTTCTCGCAGCTCGGAAGACGAACAACACTAGGCCACGAAAATGCGTTTCGAAAGCAGCAGACTTGACTCAGCAAGGTGGTGTTGTTGAGAGACTCGTACTCAAGAACAACGCCAAGATAGGTGCCGAGGGCTGGAAACATATCTGCCTGTTCATCCACATGTGCCGTTCTATCAAGTATCTCGACCTATCGAATTTACCTTTCCCTACTCCTATGGAACCTACGAAGATGCCCATCAGTCATCATATCCTTCATAGCAGTGGTCCTAATGCTCTGGCTCCCGTTGACCTATCATTGCTCCTCTCCAAGGCGATCGGGGAACGTCTAGCTGGTCCAGAATTAGAGCTCCTCAATATTGGCTCGGTCGGATTGAACGCAAACCAGCTTGGAGCCATCATTGACGGTATTCTTAAGTCGGGGGTAACAAGACTCGGCCTTGCAAACAACAATCTCGACGCGCAAGGTGTTCAGCACGTTGCGAGATATCTACGCAACGCGAAGTGCGAGGGAATCGACCTTGGCGGTAATGATCTCAGATACCATCTCCCAGAGATTGCTGCAGCTTTTGATGAGAAGGATGAACTATGGGCTATCAGTTTGGCCAATTGCAATCTCAAACCAGCGTCTCTATGCAAGCTGTTGCACAAATTAGTAAAACTCCACAACTTCAAGTTCCTCGACCTATCCCACAACCACGACCTCTTCGAATCCGAACCCAGCGCCATAGGATTGCTTCGCAAGTAAGCTATATGCAATGTATCTATCGGCGCGTACCTATGCTAA